GCTTTCCGATTGACGAAAACCGGCGATAGTTCGAATAATTCAAGACGTCTTGTGTAATTGCAGCCAGAAGAGCCACAATTGTTTCACGCCTATTTTTATTTTTCCAGTGTCTTCAAATATGGTGACTATTCTGTATCGATATACTGTTTATCAACCTGTAGCTGCGACCCATCACCCATGTGTCTTCAATATTATCACCAGATAAACGAAATGGCTCACCTCTACAGTACGGTTCTTTTGGAATTAGCTGTGAATGGTTTTGTGTGACTTGGTGAATTCCACGTGATTACTTAGATAAGAGAAGACAACCCTATAGTGCAGGGCCAGACTCTAGACGCTTATGTAGCTCAGAAGCTTTTTTCGTGCACTGGTGATACGAAGGCAACGGGAGGAATTCGCTGCGTACCTCAATTGCTTGCTGCCAGCCGCCCTCTTGGTCGAACTCATCGTTGTCATTTGCATACCTCAAGCACTTTTTGTTTTTTTGTTGGGCCTCGTGAAATCAGAGATCGTTGTAATCCGTCTCGTGTTTAACTGTGAACAAACCTAATCACTAGGTTCAACTTGGCTAATGTTGTAAGTGAATGTATAGAGCTAGTAGGGTTTCTGCCACCCGGCTGGACTTGTCTTCAGTCTTTCGTGGAGTTCACAAGTTATTGTACTATGTGTAATGTATTTTCCAATGTTCCTGCCTTTTCTGTAGCATTTAGCTTAGTTTATCTGAGGTCGGGATAGGGAAATTCATGGACACACTTTGTTAGGGAAATTTATGGACACACTTTGTTCCGACGACCCTTGATGTCCAGTGAAAATGCACGTTTTGGGTATTCTTGCATAATAGCCATGTCACGCAGACCCTTCTGACCAAGCACTTTGAAAGGGGTGGGGTGAGTGGGTTGTGGTGGTGTGGAGGGTACAAAGGAAAATCTTATTGATGCATGCAGGCTGACGCAGCAATGAACTTGTGCTTTAAGCAAATGCTACTCAGCTGAATTGTACAGGTACCTTATGAAGACCTGTTCGTTCTCAGCCGAGCACCATTTGATGCCTCCAGCACTTGGTCAATCCCCACTCTAGCAAGCCTGCAGAGCCAGGGAAATTCACCGGCCTGACCAAAAAGAGGCTCGTTAGTTGAAACTCGCAAGAGTGCAAAATGTCCCCTCCAAGCCGAACAGCTTAACTGATTACTTTCCCCAACAAACAGCCGGGCTACCGAAGTTCATGGAACATTACATATGCAACCAAAACAGGAAAAGAGACTGATTTTACGTTATGTTATGCCGCATTCGGGATCTTCACGATGAGAAATTAATAAGAGCTCGTGTTCGAAAAAGCCTGCCATGCAGAAACCTCTGCTCTCTTTCAATCGTTGACCCCATAAATGCAACCGCATATCACATTTTTTTTTGCAAGGAACACAAGTAGCAACTCCCCTCTTAATGTTGAGTGAGAAAAAATGGGCATTTGAAAACCGAGTTTGCCCGAAGTTCGTTTGTTTTGTTGGCTCTCCAGTGTGGGCATGCGCAAGACTCAAAAGACGTCATCATGTGAAGCGATAAAGAAGCTCTGATTAATAAAATGCGATCCACTTTTCCATCAAAGACAGGCTGTGCACTCACCTCCGTGAATTCTGATACTTGCCATGGGTGAAGTGAGTGGTTTGCAGCTGCAATAGCATGCCCTTTCTCCGCTCCAAACTACATCGGAAGGAGGGTGAAGGACAGTATTACCCCGGTGCTGCTTCACCTCGCGCTGCAGCCACATTCCAGCCACATTCTTAAGCACAGTCAGCGTCTCAGCGCACCTGTAAACCGCGGAGCCTCTCTTCTCTTTCCTTTTTCTTCCTTCATCCTTCTTTACCTTCCTTCCTTCTCTGTTCCTCCTACTTTACCTTCTCCCTTCAACTGCTGGACTGGAAGCAATTGCCTCGAGAAATTACCTCTGCCCACTCTCGCAGCGAGAGCATATCCGGTTGACAACAGCCCTCTAACCCGCAGCCAGACGAGCCACTTTTCTGCGCCCTCTCTCTTCTATTTGTTCTCCGCCGCTGAATATGCGTTTCGCTGCGGAACCTGAGTAAGTGCGCGCGCTGTACCTCGAAGGTTACGCGGGCGCAGTATGGAGCCGGCACCGAGTACCACCGCTTTTCGCCAATTCGTGCGCTTCAATTGAAAGAGAGACGAGTGTTGCAGCGGGATGGATATCCATCACCTTCCCACATGCGAACGATCGCCTTGCGGTAAGTACAGGCCTTGCCTTTTAAGATTTTGGGCTTTTCCACCGCCGCATTGGGAGCAGCATCCCCCGGGACCTAGACAAATATTCAGCAATAAATAAATCATAAAAACATTTCACTGTAAAACCGCAGTGTACCACACTTATTCAATACATAACTCCACTTACTTCCTTAACATCCCGGAAAATCGGCAAACCCATGTGTTTTTCGCCGGCCTTTTTGGCGTTTACTCCACCTACCACCTTCGTGCCATACTCGAGCATCTGTTTTCCATGGAACGTTCCCTGAATAGTAGCTGGTGTAAAAAATGGTCTCAGGATATCTGTCAACCGCGAAGCCTTCCTTTCCTTCGCTATTCCCCTTCCTGCTTCCTTACTTTTTCTTCTTTCTTTTCATTTCTTCGTCATTTGCCTCTTTTCCTTATTTCCCTCCTCTAAATGCTTGGACCAGAAGAAACGAAGGAAAATACCTCTAGGACCTCGAGCAAAGTTGAGCACCCTGTGACGATACCTTAGTCAACCGCCTAAAAATAAATCCCAAAACTAAAAAAAAAAAAATAAAAAAAAAAAAAAAAAATGGAACTTAGAAGACAAAAACCCCGAGAAAATTTACTAAATTTATGTACTGTAAATCTAAAAAGTAATACCTGCTTTCCAGTAAATCCTTGAATGATGACCTTCGTATTTTTATTGATTTTCAAGGCATTTCGAGTGCTGTTGTACATTCGTACGTTTTCTTGAAATGCAAGTATTACATGGAAGCTAAAGAGGAACTCTCGAAAAATTTACCTTTTGCCACCAACTGAGAAACTCGCGCCAGCGAACCCGGTGAAAACATTGTGAAAGCCCGTCTCTTCCTGTAATAACTACTTTCATTTTCATAGGCTAGGAAAAGTGCATTATAAGGAGCGCATTGGATGGAGGATAGACGTTCTGGCAGAGAGTCCAGCTTTTTCAAAGCGACACTCTCAGCAGCAAGGATGTTTCCAGCACTGAGCTGGAAAGCTGTAGAAGTGAAATGAGAATTGTGAAAAAGACTAGATGCAAATCGATTTCTTCAAATTTTCACATGAGCAAGATGAGGTACGCAGATCATACAAAACGCTAAGCAAATCATACGAAACGCTCTTTGCGGATTCTTCCAATTCCGTGAATATCTCAACCCCGTGAACCCCAAATCGATCCCTATACATTTGTTTTCTGCGCGCGGCACGCCATCGCGATGGGTAAAATATCTGCCCCACTTCCTCCTCGGGTACGACCCCTTTCCCATCCTGTCTGTCATACTGCCTGATTCTTGCGACCTCCTACAAAAACTTTCCCTGCGACGCCGCGCCCGCGAGTCACGGCGTTTCCAGGCCGTGGATGGGGATGGTGACAATAGACATAAAACCACAATGGCCATAAATTTCTACGGTTTCGCAGTATAAGCAAAATCCGGTGCTCCAATGGAGGTTAATGCCGAATTTGTAAACGTCGCGACCCATCGCTGCCGGCGCCGACAAGTTGGAGCACGATTGATTTCTTTCGACCGTACTCTCGACAAGTATTCCCACGATGGTGAGGGGGGGGGGGGGGGGAATGCAGGGTTGCAGTTTGCATCGGGCCAACAAATATGAATCATATGCACTCTAGACCTACAAAGGTTCAACAAGACACTTGAGAAAGAATTTTAGTTCAGCCACCTTCCAAAAAAATCAGAAAAGAGAACGGATTCTATTATTACAGCAGTTTTGAATGCATAGAAATGTGATTGCCAATCTAAACAGCTGGAGTCGCCTCCTGCGATCGCAGAATCAAGATCCTAGGTGTGCGAATACATCGAAAGTGTCCGAAAAAGTTCGAGAATGTCCTTCACTTTGCACTATCTAGGTGTATTGAAAGTTTGCTAGTCTACAGACGATTATCCCCCAAAGTAACCACAATATTCATTTTAAACTAACATCGGCAACTCCGGGTAACATGAGAATATGAAGTAGCAAGGTGAAAAATCAAAGAAGAACAGAAGAGATCTGAAAAGGTAGGAACAACCACTAATCGAATAAAGGAAGCGCCGTGCGTTCTGCAAAACAGTGCCATCACACTTGACTTGATCCTCAAATACTTTGTACAAGCCAGTATACAAATCAGCGTTTCAATTATAAGAAACAAATGAAAGAGAAAGCGAGGAAGTTCTTGACTTGCGTCGGCGGAATCTGGGCTGTGCGAAGTAGAGTTATTTCGCTGTTCCCAGTTCCGAAGAAGCAATACTAAAACATACACCCATTCTGCTTCATTCTTTCAGAATGTCAATAAGTGATTAGAAAAGAAGCAATCTGTTGCGATTTGCCATCACAACTGGCTGCATTCTTTTCTAATCACATTTATTGGCTTTCCTTGCAACAAAAAGTGTGCACCTCATGAACAACCTTGACCTCAGTACTCTTAATTGCACTTGCGCTGGGCAATTGATGGCTAGCAAAATGTTTTCGTAGGACAAGGTAGATTTGCATACTTCTCATATAATCAACAGTCTTTGAGGGGGTGGCTCAGTGGGTTCGGTTAGAGGACCCCAAGTTCGATGAATGCAGTGAATAAAGCGAGATGAGATACCGAGATTTCCTTTTTCGGTAGGACCCCCCCCTTTTTTTTTTTCCATTCCCCATCCTACCTGTCATCTTCCCAAGTTTCCTCAACTTGCTACCACCTTTCATGATTTTTTTTCCAAAATCCATCCACTTTTATTCCGCAGGGCCTTTATCAACGCGATTTAAGCGGGATGGGCGTGTGTGTGAAGCCGCATCTGAGAAGGAGAAACGTGCGAAACGTCAAACATTACAAAAAATTTTTCTATCATGGAACAAATTAGACCCCCCCCAGGTGGATCCCAGCGTGACGACACTCCATGCTAACTACTGCTGTTTACTACATATACATGAAAAGTGGGACACAACGTTATTGTTATTTGACCTCTTGCCGTTGCATCAAAGGAAGTTGCTGTCCGTCCTCACATGACTTTCAGACTTGACGTTCGACATGCATGGAGGTAGGGTGGCGGGGGCACTCTTTCAGGTAATCAAAGTCAAGAGCGATGATAAGACTTACTAACGACATCTGTGCTTTCAGAGCCCCACTATCTACAGAAATTATAGAAGCTGTCTTGATAGTTCTTATTTCCGACAAGGGTAAGGTCGAGTGGTGCTGCCTTCTGGCCCAGCAAGGAACAGAAAGGAATTCTAGCTAAAGACTAGCTGCGCAAGGATATAGACACTTAAATACTGGAAACCATTAGCTCTTCCTCCAATACGGCCACTTTCGGAATGCCTTTCAAGGTAAGAGCCTTATAATATTAGGGTGTCCGGAAAGTTTTGAGAAAATTCGGTCATTTTATTCAACACATATTAACAACAACAAAAGCGAAAAATCAGTAACCAAGATTTAGTGTCATTCATAGCACACGTCTCTCCACCGTATGCAGGCAGGCGATCGATACCTCGCCTTCCAGAAGCGACAGAGGGCCGGGATGCAATGCCATTCATCGACCATACGCCTGACATCCTGATGGTTGTTGAACATCTTGCCCGTAGCGTAAGCCTGGAGACTCCTGAAAGCATGGTAATCACAAGGGCTAAGGTCAGATGAATACGGAGGATGGGGCAGCCATTCGATTTCTAAATTCTCCAGCTCGTCCCTTGTCGCCTTCGCATGATGTGGTCGGGCGTTGTCCATGACGATGTGGAACTTGCCCCGGTATTGGTGGGAAACTGGAGCTCGGGACACCAGCTCTCGTAGTTGCTCACAGAATATCGATGATGTTACAGTAGTACCCTCATGAAGAATCTCGTAGTAAATACAGCCGGTGGAGCAGAAGAAAAACGAGAGCAAGTCCTTCTTGGCGTGGCAGCCTCGCTTTGGAACGGGCTCCGGCTTTTGATCCGACGGCAGCCACTCCAGTTTCCTATCCGGGTTTTCGTACGAGATCCACTTTTCATCCTGAGCAATTATGAAGCTCGCCCAAGTCGTCGTTCTTTCTCGATCGAGGAGCTTCTGACACACATCGACCCTCACCGCACGCTCCCTTGCCTCGGTAAGAGAACCACGAGAATGATTCCGGGCAAAAGCCGGCGCTGAAGCGTTCCTTTTATCAGAAGTGCGTGACAATGTGGATCGAGAGTGGAAGTGTTCTCTCCAACTCCCTCTATGGGCAGATTGGCCCTCACAGAGCCACACGAATGCCAGTGTGGAAGAGGAGGGCGTCAGCGACCATCGACGGTGCTTCATCGAGGTAACTCTACCCACTGCCGAAAGCATCGTACCACCTGTAGCAGGTTGCAAGAGAGGGTGCATTGCCACCATCGACGACAGCAATTCGTTCCTCGCTTGAGTGGCGGAGCGGCCGGAACGGTACAGGTGAAGTAGGATACGTCGAGTGTCGTGTCTGTCGCACATTATTCGATTGGTGACAACAAAGGCTATTGACGAAATGTAATATTGGTCAGCTGCTGATTTGATCTACAGACAATGCTCTATCTTCCTATGTTTTGATCTACATATTTGCTCATGGCCTTCGCGAGCTACGCTTTTTCAAAGTGAGGCAGCGAAATTTTCTCAAAACTTCCGGCACCCTAATAGAAACGGTCAGGACGGCGTAGTTCGGTCGCGGGGGGGGGGCATGCACTCTCACTGCTTTCCACTGTCGCGTCGAGCCACCAAACAGAGATTCGTGAAATCGTATGAGAAGCAATGAAGAGCAAAATGGCCCTCCTGTCGCCTTTGCAGGATAAGTCCTAGAAATAGATTCGAGCAAAATCCTCAGTCTACCATTAGGCTTCTTTAGACCTTCTGGCACCACCCGAGGAACCGAACCGAACAATTTCAATAAGATAAAACTGTTAGCATTCCCAAGCTCATAAAAGTATCACCCCATATATATAATTCGCTTTGTCTGTTTGTGAGTTTGTAAGTTTGTCTGTCCGGAAATTCGGTTCGACCTGAAGAACGACTTGGAGAGGTCCAGTCAAGGTGGGGATAGGTAGGGCATGGGACAAAAAAAAAGCACATTGACCTATGGCAAGCCCCGCCCACAGTGGGCGGGGAACTC